ATAAAACCTAAAATTAGGCAACATAAAACTTAAACTTAAGTTTAGACAACATAAAACTCAAAACTTACATTCATCCATCTTTTCAAGCACATCAACCACTTCATCGTCGGTAGTAACTGCCTTCTCAGGATCCTTACCTGATTCTTCAACCTCACCAGCCTCACCAGCCTGAACCTCAACAGCCTCACCCTCCTTCTCACTCTCCTTTTCACCCTCTTTCTCCCTCAACTCGCCACTCTCCTTCTCAGCTAAACCCTCACTCTCAGCTAACTCACCACCGGCGTTCTCAGCCACATTCTCACCTTCTTCCTCATCGACCTTCTCACCTTCCTCCGCAGCCACCTTCGAAGCCTCTTCCCCATCCTCACTCTCAGCTAACTCACCACCGGCGTTCTCAGCCACATTCTCACCTTCCTCCTCATCGACCTTCTCACCTTCCTCCGCAGCCACCTTCGAAGCCTCTTCCCCATCCTCATTGTCAACCATAAAATCTACAAATTCAAATCCAAGCACAAATACAAATAAAATCAGTATGTTACAAATACAAAAAAATTCAAATCCAATTACCTCTTCCTCCCCCTCCTGAAGCATGACCAGTGTAAAAACCACCAGACTGGTACGACAATGTCTCTCTATGTTCCAACTCCTTTACTCTAGCTGAAAGAACACGAATTGCTTCATCCCTCAAAGCAAATCCGTCGTCCATTGTCTTGTTCATTTTCAACTCTAACTCTTTAAAAAGATCACTCCTCTCGGTTTCCTCGAACTCATTTGCTTGCTGTTGTCCATCCACTTGGTCACGAGGCTCGGCTTCTTGTGGTGTGGTCGAATCACGGGTTCTCACATCCATCGCATATAGATCCTCCCAAAATATTTTTGACCCATGATTAATCAAGATCTTGTTCCAACTGTCGACGGCTAGGTCTGGGGTATCAGAATCATCTACCAGCTCAATGTCTTCCCACGACCCTTCATCCATAATCTCATACAAAAGGTCACTCTCCTCATCAACTGGTACCAAACGACTCGTAATCTCCTGAAATATAAACAAACATAAATCAGACTTGAAGAAAATAACACAAACAACACAGCTCATCTTAAGTTAACAATCATTTACCTTTGTCTTATCAAGAGCACGATAAATCTCGTCCAATGAAAATCCTGTTGTCCCAGTCCTCTTGTACCTCCATTTGCACATTTTTGGGCAACTTTTAAGAGCATTTGGAACAGGGACTCTAAATGTATCCCTAAGGACAGGGATACATTCAAACGCCAAAATCTGCACAACATTTCAAACAATCATATTAGTTATCAGAAAACACCAAATAATTGAACTTAATAAAATATTTTGATCTGAAAAATTTAAATAATTTACCTCCAAAGGGTTGATAAACCCAGGAAACACCCACCGAGGTGAATCAGGGATCCCATCACTGAAATGATCCCTCAAGTGGAAAATTTCATCTATGCAATCATCAAAAGTGAAACGGCCCCATGGAAACGTCTCGCAAAAATCAAGATCTTCAACTGCTTGGAGTAAGAATTCCTCAATGAAGTGTCCATGTTTTGTCCTTCCTCTTATAACAGTGGCCAAAAAGTAAAGAACCAACATCTTCAAACGCTCGCCACTAGCATCAGGCTCCATCGCCATAAGCTTCTTTTCCACTTCCATGACTGTAACTTTCAGCTTCTCTTCTTCTCCCCTCATCTTCTTCTTCTTCTTCTTCTTCTTCTTATCACTCGGTGTCTCCTTCTTCTTAAAATGTTGTTCAGCAAACTTCAAAGACCCTACCCTCAGATAATTTTCAGGGTATAAGTGGCAGTGTAAACCAGACAGTAAAGCATGTTCCCTGATGGAGTATCGAATCGGAACTCCATTTACCGCAAACCAAGCCTGTCGAGACTTTTCCGTAGTCACTGTGCGGAGAAGCAACATCCACATTCCCATCACCTTTCTTGTTTTGGTACAATCCATGTGGAATAGATGCTTGAACTGAGGGTGATTCTTGAACCAATTCTGCTCTGTCTCGTCGAACTTTTTAATCAAGCCCACAAAATGGCGTTGGTGGCACCTTGAGGAGAGCTTGCACGCCTTTCCATAATCACTCGGCTGAAAGAAGAAACCAATAGGTCTTATTGGTTCTACGCCAATGTCATCCCCCACATCCTGAAAAGACAACACTAAGTTATGTAAAAAGCCAGGTTTTATAACAAAATGTCTACTTGTCCTACTAGTAACACTAATAAAACTTTTATAGTTTAAACAGTTTTACTTATTAAATTAATATCTTATTGTTACTAGTTGTACCAGTTAAATGTGCTAGTTATACTACTAAAACCAATTGAGTTGTACTAGTAACACTATAAAACTTTTCTAGTTAAACCAGTTTTACTTATTAAATTAATATAATTGTTTGATCTGAAAAATGACTCTAGTTTAACTAGTTTTACCAATTAAACTAATAAAATTGTTACTAGTTGTACAAGTTAGACTATATACAAGTGGTTTAATTGTACCAGTTATATTACTAAAACCAATTGAGTTCTACCAGTAACACTAATAAAACCAGTTATATTACTAACACCAGTTGTACCAGTTTTGCTAATTGAACTTATATGAATTGTTACTAGTTGTACCAGTCCGACTACCAAAAATTCTACTTAAACTAGTTTAATTAATTGAACTACTAATATTGTTACTAGTTATACTTTTATAATTAATTAAGTTGTACTAGTTACACTACTAAACTTCTCTAGTTGAACCAGTTTTACTAATTAAACTACTAATGTTGTTACTAGTTGAACTAGTCAAACGACTCTAGTTTAACCAGTATTACCAGTTTAACTAATTTTATTGTTACTAGTTGTACCAGTTAAATGTGCTAGTTATACTACTAAAACCAATTGAGTTGTACTAATAACACTAAAAAAACTTTTCTAGTTTAACCAGTTTTACTTATTAAATTAACATAATTGTTACTAGTTGTACCAGTTAGACTACATACAACTCATTTAATTGTACCAGTTATACTACTTAATCCAAAATATCACTATGTCAAACGACTCTAGTTTAACCAGTATTACCAAATTAACTAATTTATTGTTACTAGTTGTGCTAGTTATACTACTAAAACCAATTGAGTTGAACTAGTAACACTATAAAACTTTTCTAGTTAAACCAGTTTTACTTATTAAATTAATATAATTGTTACTAGTTGTGCTAGTTATACTACTAAAAACCAATTGAGCAGTACTAGTTACACTAATACAATAACTCTAGTTTAACTAGTTTTACCAATTAAACTAATAAAATTGTTACTAGTTGTACAAGTTAGACTATATACAAGTGGTTTAATTGTACCAGTTATATTACTAAAACCAATTGAGTTCTACCAGTAACACTAATAAAACTTCACCAGTTGTACCAGTTTTGCTAATTGAACTTATATGAATTGTTACTAGTTGTACCAGTCCGACTACCAAAAATTCTACTTAAACTAGTTTAATTAATTGAACTACTAATATTGTTACTAGTTATACTTTTATAATTAACTAAGTTGTACTAGTTACACTACTAAACTTCTCTAGTTGAACCAGTTTTACTAATTAAACTACTAATGTTGTTACTAGTTGTACCAGTCAAACTAGTCACAATTTTTCACAACCAATTTAACACCAATTCATCAGAACTTAAATAACAATTTTCAAAACCAATTGAGATTGATTTACCGTTCTTTCAGTGTCATTGTTAATCTGCGGTGGCGGAGGTGTGGGTGGATCTCTGTTGGTAGACCCTATCTCCTCCTCATCCTCTTCTACACGACGGGATGGACTTCTTGTGGAAGAGCCAGGCGATGAAAGTGAGGTTACTGGTCGTCGCAGTGGAGCTTCAACCTCATCTGGTGGCTGAGAAGGCAATCTTGTCTCCGGTTCATCGTCCGGTGGCGATCTGCCTTCTTTCTCGCGGATCCGAGCCCGCTTGGTTCGGTTCGACGAGGATGCACTGTCGGCTTGCTTCCTCTTCCTCGCCGCGGTTTGACTCCTCGCTGCTACACTCTTCTTCGCCGCCGCTGCTCTATTCGGAACCGCTCTATTTTCACGCTTCTTCCTCGCCGCGGCACCGTCTCTCTTCTTCGTCGGTTCTCTTCCGCCGCCTCGAGTTTTTGGTGACATGGACGGTTTACAAACGAAATTCGACTTGAACTGATGATTTGGTTTCGATTTTGATGAGGATTCGAGTTTTAAGGGGATGAAACGAAATGGAGAAAATATGGGAGAGTTGTGTCGAGTGAGAGAGGAATTGGGGGAAATTGAAGATGATTTTAGGGTTATTAAAATCGAATCTGGGTCGGGTCATGGTAAGGGGATCCAGTTTGTGGGCGGGTTGGTAATTATGTTGAACTTTTAATTTTTTCTTGTCTTTTCAACTATTTTCGAATTATTTTTAATTCATTCAGAAAATCAAAAAAGAAAGTGTCCCATATTAGATTATATCAACACCAAGTGTCCCATATTAGCATTTGATCCCATTCTCCCTGAGCTCTCTCTTCGCCTTCCTCTCTCACTCTCACAAACAACAAAAAAGCACAACATCAACAATCCATCTCTGATCTCCCTTCTCTCTCACTACCAGATAATTTTTTTTTGCTTTCTCACGCGACATCAAAATCAGCAAGAGGTAACGATCCTTGCGTTCGTGTCTGCTTCTTCTCCGATTCATAAGTTTCGAGATCATCTGATTGCCTTTTCTGCATATTCCTTTCCTCGGTCACTGTACTTCGTCGCTTTCTCGGAATCGCATGTAATTAGTGAGCATCTTTGTCTCCGTTAGGAATCTAACTGTCTCTTCGAGCTTTATGATGTACAAATCCTAATTTCGGAACCTCTGTGCACATCCTCTTAATTTCCCCCGTAATTTGTAATTTTGCAGATCGTTGGAGTCTATTAAGAATTTTCTAGGGTTTCCGTCCCGAAAAATAGATTTGTGATCAGTAACGATTATGAAAGTAAGTTTTGTACTTTACTGATTACTATAAACCTGGATCGTATTCCACAGTTTTTGTTGCTTAGTATTTACAGAGACTTATTGTACAAATTTGTGTTTCCACGTCAATAATTTGCAGCAGTTACTATGGATGTTGGTTAATCAGATCTGTGTTATTACTGAAAAAACTGAACTCTAAATAGAGAGGATTTTGGAGAATTAAAGTTTTAGTTAGTTTGATATGAATTTAATCAAAAGCTGTGCGCCTCTGATTGGGGATTTCAGCTATTTAGTTCTTACTCCCCCTTCTCTCCTTTCACTATGTGATTTCTCCTCTGGCTCATTTCTGATGGTTTCTAACCCTTGTGTCTACTATTGCTTTGGATATCTAATGGAGTTTTTTTTGCTCTTTGTGATTTTTTGTTTCAGTAGATCGACCCTTCATATAGGCCGAGCTTGGTGGAAGGAAACGGCGATCTCAGGTTATACCATGGCTTTGACTTACTCTTGACACCGTCTCAGTAGAGCCGTAATTTCGTTGGTATATTTCTCTTTTTGGTTATGAATGTTAATGTTTGATTATCTATGCAAAAAAATAGTTTGTTGATTGATTTGTATTCCGAAGATGAGGTGTTAAGAATGGATTCAGGAACCAGAATAGCATACGCTATACATCTCTCCTTACAGGTGCTTAGGAAACTATAAATTTAAGTTATTACTACTGTCTATTTGCCGCTCTTTCTTCTCTTTGCTGAGATTCTTTTTCCATTTTTGAAATTTGATCCTTAGATCAGTTGCGTCTTGCTAATGTTTGTTATTTGCTTGCAGCCAAGCCTTCTTCGGACTCCTGAAGGGACCCCGTGTGCCAAGTACCAGAGGTGTGAAGCAGATCTTACAAGGGCTGACTTGCTTGCCTTCTGTCAAGCTTTATCCAAGATTAGTCGTTTTGTACATTCTGTCAAGTTTTATTCAAGATTAGTCTTCTAACTCTTTGTACAACAGAATCTTCGACGAAGCTCTAACATTTTATTCCTTCTTTCTTTTGTTTTGTTTAATGTTATTCTCCTATGAAGATATGGCTGAGGATTCCGTTGGTGAAGTCTGATGCTGAATCAAGGGATGCTACCCCCAAAGAGTCTGGTAAGGCTGCCATGCTTATAGACCTTTTAAACCTATAAACAAAGACGAATAAGGCTCCAGTTCATGTTGTTTAGTAGGTTTTCTTTTGTTGTAATTTCATTATGGCTTCAATCTACACTTGCTACCCGGTTACTGAAAACATGTGGAATTATTTTCTCTTCTTCGTGAGCATGGACGTAAGATGTCTGTTGCTCTTCATGTTATGAGAGTTGAGAGAAAATTTTGATTCTTTTTTGGAGTCATTTAGGTTGGTATTGGTGTTTGGGGATATTTGTTTGGTCATATGCGTTTAGGTACTAATGGTTTCAATCACATTGCACACTCCCTTAATTAATTAATCTTAATCTTATTCAGGTTGCTCAAAAACGTTGGACAGTAGAGCTCAAATTTACCAAGAATGAAGTGAATTGATTTTAGCCGCTTGCTGTTAATTTTCATTGTCTTTGTTGAATTTCATGTTTATGTGCTTACCGGCGGCGTTTTCTGTCTACCGCAACATGATTGCCACTAATAGTTTCATCAACTTCATTTCTCTGAGTGGGCTACTTGAATGTTTTCTGCAACTACATCACAAGAGACTTTGTGCTAGGTGTTCTCGAGGTGATTCTGAAGCGTGGGTTTGATGTCAGTGTCTTCAAACTTAACATCCTCTTGGAGGGTTATAGAAGAATCTGGAATACGGAAAGAATGTTACTTTGCTACCTAATAGAGTGAGCGTTGATATGTAAATGCAAGCTGAAGCTAAACGTGAAAATAGAACCCAAACTCTCGAGTCTTCAGGTAAATTTGCATTGCCTTTCTTTGCAAAATTTATGGTCTATGATTAAATAGTGTGCTTGGTACAGCTTAAGAATACAGAAAAAAGCCTCCCTACTTTGTTCCTCATAATCTGTATAACTAACTTGAATAGGAGAACACCAAGCCCATATCAACATCAATGATAGTAAGAAAAGTTCTGCAATCTTCGTATCAGAAACTGCAAAGAAAAAGTAAGCGAATCGAGCATCATGTTTGTATTCACTATTTAGTTAGAATGAGCGCATTATAATATGTCAAGCCATTCTTCGTTGTTATATCACAACATTTCTTTTCTTCAAAAATAAATAAATTAAAAACGCTATTTATTTTTATATATGTGACTATAAGTAGATTTCCCTGCAATGTTTTATTTTATTTTTTTTATTACTAGCGTAATTGTTTTTTTTTTGTTGCCTATAAGTGTACAAGAAGCCATTTGCTGGAGATTAAAAAGAAATTCTTAAGAGATTCCAATTTGGGATCTGGACCTCTGTTTAGGTTTTGTCTCGTGATTTTTCACCCTTATAAGTGCATATTAGTTTTTTAAAATTAAATTTCAAAGCTTATATAGTACGTTGATTGATTTTTTCATGGTTCTGAGTTCTGACTGGTATATATATATATATATTATATATATATATATATATATGAAAAATGTGCATATACAGACTCTTTGTTATAGGGTCAAAAAAGTGGTCCAGCATTGTATTTAATACACTAGAGCAAGTGTTTCAGAGGTTCAAAGAATTCGCTGCTTGAAACACTATCTTCACTGATGATGAACCTTATAGTGGTCTTCTAAATCCAGTAAAGTACTTCAATCTCTTTAATATTGTCGTTTATTTCTTCCTTCTAACTTCGATTGATATTGCAATGCATTCATGCCATTACATGAGTGCTTCCACTGACTTACAGTCCTACACACAAGTGACTATTTTCTTGGTAAGAAATGTATTTTTAACATTTGATGTCTATCTCTTATCTTTTGCTAAGTTTTTTTTTGTTGTGACTGGACTGTTTTGGTTCGGTTAGCCCCTGCTGGAGAATTATGTTTTTACTTGGATGATCATGCAAATTCATTGGATATTCAGGCTTACATAAGAGTGTTCTTTTGGACAGCCGAAGATGATTCAGTTCATCCCGACTGGTCTTTCTACTAAGAAAACTGAACTAACCCATGAATCTTTTAGATGAATTTTGTTAGGAACAACAGACACATACATTTATCAAGAAGATCAATGAACAGTAAATATCATCTAGCTAGCATAGATGGAGTATGACACCACCATTTTCAAGATTGCCATTGGAAAAACAGATCCACAAAAGTGTTTCGTCTCTTAACCACTTCGGTTTTCTCCTAATGAATTTAATGAATTATCTCTCATATATTCAACCGGTTAATGTTTTGTGGTTTGATTTGAATACAATGTATTGTGAATGATTAATAAAAAGAATTTCATTTCATCAAATTTCAAATAACATGTCATTTATGGTTTTGTATCAAGATATCTATTCATATTGTTTTTTAAAACATATATGCTGTAACAAGGTTAAATACGTTACACAAAACCTTTATCTTAGTTTGATACAAGTAAATAGATAGATTTTTAAAAAAATTATGATAACAAATTTACCAAATGCAAAATAATATTTAGTTTAGTGCATTAAATTATAAATGAGTTAAGCGATCATTTTAAATATGTCTCAAATCGTAATACTTATTAGACTTTAATCCACATGGTACCTTTTATAATTATTTATATTTTTATGACATATCGATAGATTATATTATTACAATTGGGTATTTTATATTATGTAACTTAATATGTTTTGTTCGATATTAATAATATATAATTATTTATTATTTTATTCATTTTACGTAACAACATATCTGAATATATAATTTATTTGTATTTAATATTTTTATTTAAATTTAAAATAAATACAATTATATAAAAAATCAAAATAAAATAGTATATCTATTTAACCCGTTTCGTTAAGTTTTTGATGTTTCTAATGAAAATGGATTAGATTTTGTTTATATTTCTTATCAGTCAAATTTTATTTAATTTACAAAAAATAAAACATCCACTTTAAACTAAAAATCATATAATTCAGTAACATACATATTTTAACTTCTTATAGTTTATATTTATTAACTTAAATTTTATTTTTTCTAATTTTTATATTTGAGTTTATAAATTAAAATAATATATTATAAAATATAACTAATTTTATTTAAAATTAAAATAACATTTATATCTAATATTTTAATATTAATTACGAATTTAATGAATGATTTAAAATTATTAATTAACATATTTTATAAGATATTGTTAAAGTAAAATAGAAAATATTCTAAAATAAATGGTGTCATAGCAGAATATTTTTTTATTTGTGATAGTAAATTTTATTCAGATGATCAAATATAAATATGTTTTTTATTTAATAAAAATCACTAACGAAAGGGTCCAATAATTTTTTACCAGTAGATAAAAATAGAACTCTATTTTAATAAATTATATGCAAATTATTTTACATAAATAGTATTTAATACTAAACAAGCCATATTCTTAACTAAAATAGATGAACTTATATTTATATATTTTGTTTGACCAACATCAATTTTATTTGATTTACAAGAACATAAAAATTACATAACATCATTTCAAAAATAAAGTAACGAATAATCTACAAACTACATATGCGAAACTTATAAAAATATATTGGAAAAATACGAGAATACATGAAAAACAGAAATAAAAACTATACAACAAAACGAAAAAAAAATACTGCCTCTATTCCATATATATAATGTTTTGGGAAAAGCTATTTCCCAAAGATATATTTTGTATTCTCTATAAATTTTATTTTATTTAATAATAGTAAATTTAAATTTTATTTTACCTCATGATATTAAATTATAAGTTTCAAAAAATTAATTATTTTTTTAAAATATTTCTGATTTACTTTTATTATAACTTTGTAATTATAAACTGATATATTATACAAATTTGATGTATTTTTTAATATCTCTGAACAAACGAGAAATAATCTTCGTAGATTGTAGGGGTAATAAAAGTTCATGTAATATAAATATATCAAATTCATTAAGTGATTAATTTATTTTCATGTATTTATTTTAAATTATGTTTCTTTTACCATTAACTCAAAAATAAGTGATATAAACAATCATATAAAATAATTAAACTTGCTTTTGAATAAGTACAAACGACACAAAATAATAAATAATATTTTCACACAAAAACATTAATGTTGATTAATAAAATATTAATGTTGATCAATAAAATATTAATGTTGACCAAAAATTGTATACTTTCTGTATGAGACAATTCCGCTGTTCATTTTAGAGATTTATATGGCATAACAAACAGAAAACATGAGATCGTAGTAGTAACAAGAGTCCACCAACGAACATGTAGAGATAATATACAAACAAAATTATCTGTGTTACATGGAATTGGTAATGGGTATGCAAAATCGGAATCATCTATAAGTGTAGAAACAAACTTTTTTAAAAAAATTAGGAACCCGATAACTTTAAAAAATATATATATAAAACATATATTCACAAGGTTTCAACATGATTTCAAAATGTAATCGTAAGCTTCAAATTGTTTTATAAATTATATATTTTAGAAGCATTTTAGCATCAAGATTTTGTAAGGTTCCACAAGATTTCAATTTTGATTTTGAAGCACAAAACTAAAATCCGATGAAGCTCCCGTGCAATCTAAACATTTAATAAATCAAATACAATTCAAAATTTAAACAACAAAACATGTCATACCCTATATTATACTATGTATTGCAAATGTAAAAACGTTTTGTATTAACTAAAAATTATTTTATTTTATATGGTACTGAAACAATAATTTAAATTCTAAACTTTTACGTAATAGTGATATCCGCGCGTAGCGCGGAAAAGAACTAGTATACATAAAGATTACATTTAAGGTCATATAATTCCACATAGAGGTTTAAGACAAGAATATCATTTATCTCCGTACTTATTTATTAAAGACATGGAGCAGAACGAGAGAAGCAATTAACAGGCTAAAGGTAGCAAAGGCATGCTCGTCAATATCTCATCTTTTATTTGCAGACGAAGGTCATTATTTTCTACAAGGCAAATAAGGATACTGAAGGAATACGAAACAGTGTCAGGACAGTAGATCAATTTCCAAAAATCTTCAAATTTTGGCCATAAAATTGATGA